GCCAGGGAGGAGCACTCGGGGTGTCTGAGAGTCACCCTGTAGAGCACTGTCTTCCTGGGGCCACCCACACTCTGCTTGTCCCAGCCTGTGGCCACTTATGACCAACACAGGTGGCCCTGGCCGCTCACCACCACCCCAGTGAGGACAGCAGCCGTGTAGTGTGCTGATAAGTGCCTTGCCGCATTGCCTCAGTTAATCTCATACCTACCCATTTTACAGATGAGAAAACTGAGGCTTAGCAAAGCAGAGCCAAGACTGGAACCCAAAGCCTTCAGTTTTCTGGGGCATAGTTCTTCCCTCCTCCAGACTTCTCCACGCTGAAACCCAGTGGGCAATAAATTAGAAATCCTGCGTGAGGGGTGACTGGTGGGCTACCCGTTGTGGTGGAGACAGCTGATTTCCACTATTTTCATCTTAGCAGTGACTTGCCCCCTCTGGCCGACTCCAGTGCCTCCCTGCTCTGAAGCATGCACTGAGGTGCTATCGTTGTTATTGATTATTGCCGTCGTTCCTAACCATTCTGCTGGGCTGCTGAATTCTGCTCATTTTTTGGTCGGTTTAATTCCCATTTTCTGAGTCTGTTTCGGCGGCAACCCTGTCCCTGTCAGCTCGGTACTGAGATTGCAGGCGCAGCCCTGATGGGGGGGCAAGGGGTCCCCTCGCTCCCCCCACCCCCACCCCTCCCCTCCCAGGTCCATGGCTCCATCACCCTCAAGATGCGTCCTGCGGGCAGTGGTCCCAGGGGTCCGTCCCCACTGCCCCTCGGGTCTTCGCCACTCTGAGCCCCCCATCCTGCGGTCACGCTGGTTCCCGCCCAGCCGGCCCTTGGGAGCAGCACTGAGACCCCGGATCCTTTCAGCCCATCCCTGCACGGGGCCCCAGGAAGTAGGCTTACCAAGCTGGATGATGGCCTAAACCCAGCCCCTCCCTGGGAGGGTGAGTGTCCCTAGCCTGGGGATCCCTGTCCCATGAGCACACCAGCTAGGGGGGAGGCCAGGGGGTGGGGCCAGCATTCTGTCAGCAGCCCAGGGGCACCCCTCGGGGATACTTCAGGTGGTGGCTCTGGGGACAGTTAGCCAAAGGGAAAAAAATGCAAACGATGAGTCTGCTAACAAAATCAGCCACCACGGCCACTTGCTAACCCTTGAAACGTGGCCTTGGATTATTGCCTCTTCATGCCGTCTGGAAACCTCAGGTCCTGGTGCCAGGCCCTGGGAAGTTCATGTACAAGTACGAGGTGGAGATCTTGAGGCCCAGTCGGGTGAGGACTCAGCAGCCCAGACAGTTATTGAGCACTTACTGTGTGCAGGGCATGGTGAGGAATACAAAGACAGGGTAAGCGAAAGCCCTGCCCTGTGGTGTAGCCCCTCGGCGGGGCAGACAGGCCTGCAAGACGGCTCTGATGTGGGGCCGGCGTGCTTCCTGCGCGCCGGCGGCTCGGGCCCGCTTTACTGCTGCCTCTTTTCAACGCTGGTGCTTTTCTCTTTCAAGTGTCATTTCCATCCGTGATGGTCCCGCTGGCCCGGATTCTGCCCAATAGGAACCTGGAGGAGCTGACTGGCTTCTTTAACAATCTCATTAGGAATGTGGCTGCCGTGAGGAGCCAGCAAGCAGCAGGCGAGGTAACGGCTCTTCCTGGGAC